AATGCATAAAAAGCTATAAGTACAAAGCTTTTTATTTCATAATTTTTTAGACTCACCAAAAAAAATAGCAATAAATGAAAAATTCAAGAATGGTTTTTAAAACGCTATGCAGTCATTAAAAGCAATAATTTAAAAGGCTATGTAGCATCACAGAAATATGCTGTCTTTGTGATATACCATTAAATGACAATAGAAAAATGCAAATAGAAAATGCTACTATACCAAGTAAAAATAAATAATTATAAATGTGGACAAACACTGGAAGGAAACACTATTTAAAATATATTAATTTGTAGGAATTGTGGGAATCTTCAATTAATTTTACCTTTTTAAATCTAGATATCCTTTAGTTTGGAATCAATGTTATCTGATAACAAACCCATAATCTTTAAAACATTATTGCTATTTATTTAGGTTTCTGTCACCTCTGAGGGCATTAATGAAAAATTATGCAAGAACTCAAACACACCTTCTAAGGGAGTTAACTATTTGACGAGCAAGAGATAACCTGGAACTACAAAAGTTTTCAGGAAGGTTTTCCGCTAAACAGATAATACATATGCATAGTATATCTTTTTCTCCCTTTAGACCAAGATTTGGGTAGGCTATCCAATAAATGAAAAATATTTCATTCCATAGTCCTCATTCTACTCCAGAGTTTATGAGATTTTCCAGATTTTTTCAGATTTGGCATCTTGTTCCAGATTTTAGTAATTTGCTAATATTGACTAATACTAGCATTTTTTGAGAATAGATGTTACAGAGTGGTGAATATAGAAGGGGTTTGAAGTTAAAGTCTGTGGGGCATGCTAAGACAAGGAAATATTTAATAAAAAGAAAATTAAGTATCATTTACTTACTGATGCCTACAGTGCAGTGGTTCTTGCACTGTAAGAATAGCTTCAAGTTTGGGGTTTTTTAAATACAAGTTGTATACCCAGGCTGCATAACCAAGGATTAAGCTTGAACATGTCAAGACCATAGCCCAGGAATCCACATTGTATAAAAGTTCCAAAGTGATTCTGATGCAGGGGGTCTCAAGACCATGCCTGAGAAACTTAGGTATAAAAATTAAATGGATAAGTCTGATTCTTCTTCCAAGATAGTCTTCTTCCAGTTTAAAAAGTATTAATACATATAGGGATTCTATCATATTCATTTTTGTAAAATGAAGAACATGAAAAAACAAAAACAGTTTTAAGAGAGAAAGATATCCCACCAGATGTTACAATTTGCAAAATATTCCATATTATTGACTGGTTAAACACATGTGTTAGGTGATTCTGGCATGACTAAAAGAAATACCTGGGAGACTGGGTAATTTATAAAGAAAAGAAGTTTAATTGCTTCGTAGTTCTGCTAACTCTTCAGGAAGCATAACACTACCATCTGCTTTGGGGGATGTCTCTCGAAGCTTTCAATCATGGTGGAAGGTGAAGGTGAAGTACAATCACTGTGGAAAACAATGTGGAGATTCCAGCAAAACACCTTGCCATGTATGTACCTATGCAACAACTCTGCATAATCTGCACATGTACCCCAGAACCTAAAGTACAATTAAAAAAAGAAGAACTAGAAATTGAACAACCATTTGATCCAGCAATCCCACTACTTGGTATCTACCCAGAGGAAAAGAAGTCATTATACAAAAAAGGTACTTGGACATGCATGTTTATAGCAGCACAACTTATAATTGCAAAAATATGGAAGCAGCCCAAATGCCCGTCAGTCAACAACTAGATAAAGAAATTGTTCGTACATACACACACACACACACACACACACACAATGCAGAATACTACTCGGCCATAAAAAGGTATGAAATAATGGTATTCACAGCAACCTGGATGAGATTGAAGACCATTATTCCTATGTTTTTATCATAAAGATGGTATTGTATTGTACTTAGACATATACTATCAGATCTCAAATCATTCTAATTCTCTCTCATTTTTTTTTATACTTTAAGTTCTGGGGTACATGTACAGATCGTGCAGGTTTGTTACATAGGTACACGCATGGTGTACACGATGGTGATTTGCTGCATCCATCCGCCCATCATCTACATTAGATATTTCCCCTAACGTTATCCTTCCCCAATTACCACACCCCTGCTATCCTTCCCGTAGTCCCCCCAACCCCCAACAGGCCCTAATGTGTGATGTTCCCCTCCCTGTGTCCATGTGTTCTCATTGTTCAACACCCACTTGTAAGTGAGAATATGTGGTATTTTGTTTTCTGTTCGTATGTCAGTTTGCTGAGAAAGATGGTTTCTAGCTTTATCCATGTCCATTCAAATGACATGAACTCATCTTTTTTATGGCTACATAATATTCCATGGTATATATGTGCCACATTTTCTTTATCCAGTCTATCATTGATGGGCATTTGGGTTGGTTCCAACACTTGAAATCTTGAACAGTGCCACAATAAACATATGTGTGCATGTGTCTTTATAGTAGAATGATTTATAATCATTTGGGTATATACCCAGTAATGGGATTGCCGGGTCAAGTGGTATTTCTAGTTCTAGATCCTTGAAGAACAGCCACACTGTCTTTCACAATGGTTGAGCTAATTTACACTCCCATTAACAGTGTAAAACTGTTCCTATTTCTCCACATCCTCACCAACATCTGTTGTCTCCTGATTTTTTAATGATCACCATTCTAACTGTCATGAAATGGTATTTCGATGTGGTTTCAATTTGCATTTCTCTAAAGACCAGTGATGATGAGCTTTGATTCACATGTTTATTGGCTGCATAAATGTTTTCTTTCGAAAAGTGTCTCTTCATATCCTTCGCCCACTCTTTGATGGGGTTGTTTTTTCTTATAAATTTGTTGTAAGTTCTTTGTAGATTCTGGTTATTAGCCCTTTGTCAGATGGGTGGATTGCAAAAATTTTTTCCCATTCTGTTGGTTGCCAGTTCACACTAATGATAATTTCTTTTGCTGTGCAGAAGCTCTTAAGTTTAATTAGATCCCATTTGTCTATTTTGGCTTTTGTTGCCATTGCTTTTGGTGTTTTAGTCATGAAGTCTTTACCTATGCCTATGTCCTGAATGGTATTGCCTAGTTTTTCTTCTTCTGATACAGCTGTATCAGACCCAAGGACCTGGTGGCATGGGCTCACAAATGGATCTTTTGACCTTCGGGTTTCCTGGGCAGGATTGCAAAATCACTCACTGCCTCCCTTTGCTGAGAGTAGCGGTTCCTTCAACTCTGTGCCACTCCTGCGTGGGCCATTACCCTCCACCCTGACTTTTCTTCATTCTCTGTGAGTCTAGTTGTTTGCCTAGTCAGTCCCAATGTGAGAACCTGCATATTTCATTGGAAGATGCGAATTCACTAACTCCTTTTTATTGCTCTCTGTGTGTGCTACAGACTGCAGCTCCTTCTAATCAGCCATCTTGGATTCCCTCTAGTCTTTCTACTAAAGATATGAGTGGTTTAGACATTTGCAATTCCAGTTAGTGTATTTTTTATTTTTCTGTGTACTTACTTTTACCAATAAGTTTTATGCCTTCAGATTGTTTCTCACTGCTATGTTAAAAATTCTGAACATTCTATCTCCTAATAAAAAATTTTAAAAACACAATACACATGATTCGTTTAGCATTTCCACATTGTGGTCTTCAAACTGTCTGTGCCTATCAATGTTGGAGCCATGGGAAGCCTAGTACATGAAGTCTTTAAAAAGGAAAAACAAAAAATTTCAAGAATAACTGATGACAAAAGGATTGCTAAATATGTGATGTGTTCCAGATTGCCTAAAGAGATCTATAAATATTAGGTTGCATTGACACCAAAAACTACAGAAAAACAAAAACACTGAAAATAGTTAAGAGGAGTAATATATGAACAGAAAAATGAAGAGAATGATGAACAATTGAGGCAGTAAACGAAAAGGCAGAATGCAGTCATGGGAACAATAAAAAGTTCTGCTGCTGATATAAAAAGTGATGGGGCAAAATAGACATGTCTTAAAAAAGAAAGCTATAAACTAGACTGTGACAATCTAGGGATATTCAGGAAAGAGCAAGTGACATGAACACACCTCATCATCTTCTAAGGACCTCTCGTATTTCAACTTGTATTAGTCAATATTCAACAAGAAACACTATATAAGAAACATAGCACTAGTTCTAGCAATGGAGAAAACTGTATTAAAGAGCTGTTCAAAACGTTCTGCAGAGAAATTTGGAGGAAATATTAAAAAGTTGATGTAACCTTAGAAGACAATGGAGATCTATGTGCACCTTGAAAAAACTTAAAAGAGGAAAACTTTGAAAGATTCATAAAATACTAATTCAACATTTTATATGGCACTGAGAGTCATAAAGTACATGTTGTTACATTCTTTACAGATTCTTGGTAAAATATAGTTCTTCAGCATATCCCCTATCATAAAGCTACACTAGTGAATTCATATTTTTAAAACATTATATATCTGGTTGGTCTTACTAAAAAAAAATCAGCCTATCCAACTCTGTTCCAGAAGTGCTCACTATGTGTTGCAGATCACATTTATAATGAACAGAGTATAGCATACATTTTGAGTAAAAATTATTCTGACTTTTCAATTATAATTTCCCACAATTCTGAAGTGTCAGTCAGAAAATCAAATAAGTAGATCAAGGATCAGGAAATTTAGAGAATTCAAGAAAAGTCTTTTTAAAGAATTATTTATTTTGCTGACTCTCAACAACACATTTCAAGCAACTAATCTCTGTGTTTTGGGCTTTTGTCTGTGAAATATTTGGAAAGATAAGAAACAGCATGAAAATTGTGTCATTGGCAATGCACTTTCCATCTATAGTTTATCACAAATATTTATAGCATTTATGTATATTTCTGGCATGCCACTGGAGCATATTATAGATTCTAGTCAAGAAAAATACTTTGGTAAATAAATTTTTAACATTAAGCTTTTATTAAATTGCCTCAATTTATGTTTAATTGCCATAGGCTAAGTGCTATGCAGATGTCTGTAATCAGCAAAGTTGTAAACTATTCTGAAAGCCACCAGAAGGCTAAGTGCATTAATGAAAATTTCATGTCCTTCTTGACTCATGACAATATAACTGTCCCGAAAATGTCCACTTTGCCTGTTGGACTTTCAGGAATGTCTGAAGTTAAATAGTTAAAACATAGGCAAATAAGTTCAGATTTTAAATAGGCTCACCAAATTATAAATATTTTTTAAAGATGTGTGACAATTACTCTTACCACACATCTTTCACTGTTATATAAAAAAAAATAATTTTTTAACCTAATGGGACTGACTTCTCAATTGGAAAGACTCAAAAATACCCCAATTCTCAGAACTCGTAACAACTGAATAATTCCTCTGATCTTCATATTTGTCATTTCACAATCAATGTGTTGGAAAACTCAATTAAATGGAAGGGTAGACCTCAGTATGTTCCAGACGAACAACAAAATAATGACATGTATCTAAAAAGTGGCTAAATTTACAGAGCAGGGCAAATTGAGTCAAAGCCCTGCTTGCTGTTTAGTGCATATCACACTAACAATCATTCCAGCCTCCTGGAGGGACCAGGTATTGAAGTCCACAGACCCAGGTCTACCCCATCCTGGTATGTACTGAGTGACCTTGTGCTAGTTACTTATTGTCTTTGTACCTCAAGTTCCTCATGAATAAAATGGGGTGTATCATATACAGTTGCTGTGAAGATCTAATGAGCTACATGTAATAAATCACAAAATTTAACCCAGGGACTAGCTCTTGGTCCTCAAAAAATATTAACATTGGATGATAATTTCAACTATTAACTAGGTCAACCTAAGCCATAAGTATTTGGGATTCACGTGACTACTGTCATTTAACTAAGCATTAACTGTTAAGCAGGACCTCAACCTACATAAAATGTTAGCCCAATATTTAAAATGCTATAGCAGAAATATGAATAGAGGTAGTAGTAGCAGGAAAAAATGATAGGAAACATGTGGGAGTCCATGGATGGATGGCGTGGAGGGGAAGACTGTATCGAATTGATACAGCTTCCAGATTAGAATTCTGGATTAGACTATTAGGACCTCTATCCCAGAAAGCATTTTGTTTGCTTGTTTTAATCTCCAAAAATCTTTCTCTCAACAAAACACCTCAGAAAAAACATGTGTATCATTCATTTTTAGTTGTCCAAACAGTTGCCAGAGAATTTTGGTATATTAAGTTAGCCTTATATAAGTTCTTCTTTTACATTTTTCAAGTACATCAATGCTAAAGTAAAATTAGAAAGCAACTTAAGAACACAAAATATATCACTTATGAAGAGATTCTGATGCCACTTTCAGCAATACGTTTTAATACAATAACTTATAATTATGCTTTCTTAGCATATTAGTATCTTTGATACTCTCAACAGTGGTTTTAAACATACATATTGCAGAACCTCAGGGCTCAGACTTCCTCGGGGGTAACTCTAGGGCAACATTGGAGGTAGGGGAAAGGGTGGGTTTCTGGACTTTCCATACCTCCCCCACTTTCCCACAGTCTAAGCCTAATTCCTGTATAAAGATTTTCTTAAAATCTCTAGGCTACCTTTATCTCCCTCTTTCCTGAACTTCTGTAGTTTGGAGTGTCCTCACCACTCCTAGGGCATCCAAGTATTATCCACACCACACTGCCAAGCATAGTGTCAGTCTTCTACTATTTCCTCTCTCATGGATGTATTCTTTTTCTTCCTCCATTAAGACTATACATTCTCAAAATAAAGATTGTGTCATACAATTATCTCAAAGAATTCACCTTCTGTGCCCAGAAAACATGAGGTATCAAAAATAGTGGCTGACTTAAAGACATTAGCTGTAAATTTTCAGTGGAAAAAAGAATTCAGATCTAGCCTTTAAATATATATTCCTGAAAACTTCAGCAACAACACATAGGGATGAAACTAACTGAAGGCTTTAATATTTTTTTTTTTGAAAAGCAAGAAGATAGCAAATCTAGACTAAACACTTGTTTGTCTCTGCAGTGGTGTGCAGTGGGAATTTTTTTTAATTTTTAAGTAAACAAACACAGGTACTTTTTTGCAGACTGCAATAACCAGAAAATTTAATGAGGCATCCAAGAGGCCTAACAGTTCATGGGGAAATGGTAACGAAGGTGTGATGGTTCATACTGAGTGTCAACTTAACTGGATTGAAGAATACAAAGTATTACTCCTGGGTGTGTCTGTGAGGGTGTTGCCAAAGAAGATTAACATTTGAGTCAGTGGGTGAAGGGCAGACCCATTCTTAATCTGGATGTGCACAATCTAATCAGCTGCATTCATGGCTAGAATATAAGCAGGCAGAAAAACGTGAAAAGAGAGACTGGCCTACCCTCCAAGCCTACAGCTGTCTCCCGTTCTGGATGCTTCCTACCCTCAAACATTGGACTCCAAGTTCTTCAGTTTTGGAACTCAGACTGGCTCTCCCTCCTCCTCAGCCTGCAGAGGGGATATTGTGGGACCTTGCGATCTTGTGAGTTAATACTTAATAAACTCGCCTTTATATAACTCTCTATATTCCATTAGTTCTGTCCCTCTAGATTATAGGAGATCAGTCAGGGTGGTGGGAGAAATTATAGGAAAAATGCAAACCTTCTTGGAAGGCTGGGAGGTTTTTGGGGAAGAATGAGATGAAGGCAACTGTTCTTACCCTGAGGCAAAGGGTAAGGGGTAGGTACAAGTAAACGTAGAGGAGTTTATCTAAATAGTTTGTTTACTCATGTTGTACTAAAACCAATCTTTGATCATTCGCATGCAGAACTACTCTCTACCCAGGGGTTCAACAATGTTAATTACCCACAAATGTGTTTGCTCCAGGCCTTTGTCATTAAATCTATACTAAAATAAATGTGAGCATCTCTGGCCTATTGGGACTGCATGCTTATCAGCAGTACTAAGCCGTGCAGTCCCCTAGCCACACTCAGGCAAAATACCTGTGTCTGCATACTCCTTTCATCTGTTGTTCAGCCAGAGTCAGCAGGACATACTCAGCAGCTAGTGCCCCTGTATGAGAAATACTGCAGTGCATCATGACAGAACCCCTAAAAACAAAGATGAAGAGACTGTGTAGTCAGAAAGTCATTGGGGCCCACTCAGGATACCCAAGTTCAGGGGAATTCTCAAGCTAGGGTTTCATCATGGGGCAACAGTTATCAGCACAACAGAAACAGTATAGAAAAGTATTCAAACAGCTACTTAAAGCTAGTGGAGCCTTGGTTTCACAGGATCAATTAAGGGACCTAATGCAAATAGTTGTTTCCTGTAGCCCATGGTTGCCAGAAGAAGGCACGTTAGATGTGGAGCTCTGGGAACAAGTGGGGAGAACTCTTAAACAATATTGTGCACAAGCTCAACGCGTCCAAGTGACATCTTTAATATCATGGGCCTTAGTTAGGGCTTCTTTGGCCCTGCTCTACACAGAAGAGCCTAAGAAGAGAAGGGAGGAGAAACTGTCACCTACCTTACCGTCTCCTCCATCTCCCTCAGCCCCGCAATTACCAGGTAAAGGTGCCACAGAGGAGACAAAAATTGTCCCCAAGCCCCCTGCCACAATAAATTGGAAGAAAGACAAGGGACATGCTACAGATATGGGACCCTGTCTTAGGCAAGCGGCATTAGAAGGGGAGCTCTTGGCCTGCCAGGTAATGCAAGATCAATAAGACAATCATGTATATGAATCCATTCCTTTTGACACTTATAAAGAGATAAGAAAAAGCATTAGAGAAAATGGAGTCACTAGCCCATTTACAAAAGGATTAACTGAAGCCATAGCAGACAACTTCCATATGACTCCATGGGATGGGTCAGTGTTAGCTAAAACAACTTTAGAGCCCAGTCAGTACCTCCTCTGGAAGGCAGAATATAATGTGTTGTGCGAACAACAAGCCAACCAGAATCAAGTGAAAGGCAAGACATTAACAGCTGCTATCCTCCAGGGGAGGGGCCCCATGCCAATGTACAACAACAAGTTTTGTTCCCCAAGCCTAGGCACAGGTGTCTTTGTGCACTCTCAGGGCATGGGATCGAATTTCTCAAAGCAAAGTTCAACAGGGATCTTTTATAAATATTCGACAAGGGTCTCAGGAGCCATTTGTTGAATTTATCAATTGGTTAACCCAGGCAATTTGGAGACAAATTAGTCATGCCCAGGCTGCTGATATCTTACTGTTACAATTGAAAATGCTAACGATGACTGACAGCAAGCAATGCAGGCAGCTACAGTCAGGGAACTTATACAAGCATGTCAGCTGGTGGGGACTGAAACACACAAAGCCAAAATATTGGCTATGACATTAAAGCCTCCTAAAGTGAAAAGGGAGAAAAACCCAAATCTAGAGAACCCCGACTAATACGGAAGTCTTGGTCTTCCCTGTTGTTTCTATGGTTACCATAATATAAACCTCCTAACAAACCACCCTAAAACTGAGAAACGATGAAAGTGACTCAAAAATAACAAACAACACAATAAACAGCTTTTGAGTGGTTTATTATGTAATATAATACAAAAACATACTGTCTAACAAGAGTTGAACAAGAGATTTGGGTTTTATTTCTTTGAATTTAGTCATTGAAAGACACAAAGCAAAGCTCAACAAAAGCAAAATTTTCCTGTCATGGGTCCCCTAGTCCTTGTGGTTAGGTAAGAACAAGAACCTCCCTGCCTTCAAATAAAAAGTGTATTTGACTCTATCTTTGTGATTGGTTGTTTCCTACACATATATATATAAATATATAAACATTTGTGCATGTACACACTTATGTGAGCAAAGTTATAAACCAGAACTGTGCTCACATTTTTCTTGACAGTGATAATCCATGTTAAGAATAAGTAAGCCTACATGCCCTGATGATGATAATAATCCTTTAAATTTATGCTGAGCTTTACAGTATATAAAGTGATTTTTTAAATTATTTCATTTTATGCTCATGTCAACTTTGTAGATAAGTGGAACATAGTTATTGGTGTAATCAGTTTATAAATAAGGATACTGAGAC